TCTTGCATACCTTGAAAGGTTTACCCAGAAGGCACAGTGTTTTGGACCACAGGTTCAAAAGTCTGCTTCTCACTTCTGCCAGAAGTTGAAGAGGCCAATGCAAAACCTTCTTGGAACAAGCAGTAACAGGAGCCAAGGCTTCAGAATGAAACTGTTCAACTTGACTGAATCTCAGCAAACGGAAGGAAGCCCAGTCTTCAGAGAAATCCCTCAAACAAAGCTGCCTTTCCACTTGAGAGGTTATCTTAGAAAAGATGCTAATCTTCAACTATATTGTTTTGGTTGAACTAAAACTAATCAATCATCAGAAGTCAGAGGACTGATCCAATCCAAAATCTGCAACTAAGGAGAAAATCCACTGTACATGACAAATTAAAAATATGCTTCTACAAGCACAGAAACTAGAACTTATAGAAGTTTTTGAGAATTAAATATATTTGCAGAGCTCACATCACTCATCAATATCTGATTTCTGCTTTGGCACCTCCATATTGCCAATTTTAATTTTGCATATTCCAAAAGCATTAGGTTCCTTTAAGGATTCAGAACAAGAAAAACTGTGGGAAAATAAAATGGGAGTATTCAGTCTGCTGCTTTTACCTTAACAGACCAAGGAACAGGATCATAAAAGAAACCACCTATATGAGACATTTGCCAAGTCTCACTCAAACCCAAATGTACCCCTTCAGTAGAACTTTTTTTTTTGGGGGGGGGGGGAGAAACAAGAAAATCCTGAAAATTCTTCCTACATAAAATGATACCATAGGAATACAATCCTGTAGTTTCCAGCATTTAATACAGTTTGATCTGCATATTTGAATGATGTTATATAATAATAATAATAGTAAAGTTGGAAGGGACCTTGGGCGTCATCTAGTCCAACCCCTGCTTAGGCAGGAAACCCTATACCATTTCGGACAAATGGCTGTCCAGTCTCTTCTTAAAAACCTCCAGTTTTGGAGCATTCACCGCTTTTGGAGGCAGGTTGTTCCACTGGTTAATTGTTCTAACTGTCAGAAAGTTTCTCCTTCGTTCTAGGTTGCTTCTCTCCTTGCTTGGTTTCCACCCGTTGCTTCTTGTCCTGCCTTCAGGCGCTTTGGAAAATATATTTGGAAAATATATTTCTCTCAATGAAGTAGAGATCTTTGGTAGTTTTTAAAGCTCTAAGAAACAACTACACACTAGGCCTGCTTCTTCAACCCCAATAATGTGATAACCATAAGCGATAGACTTTAAGACAGAAACTGAGGAGACGAACTAAAGACCTACAACTGGTACTGAAATATCTGGATCAAAATAATTAATGAGCATCTTACTCCCAGTGGTGACACCATAAAACTATATACTACAGACAGCATAAATCCATCTCTGAAAGAGCTGATGCTAAGTGATCTTTCCTAAGGAAACAAGCTACTTATCTGAGAGTCTTGCCCCTTGTGGTAATACATACATCATTTTTGTTGCCTATCTATTTCCTAGGGTCATTACATGCATATATTCTTCTAGCAAAAGTTTATCCATTGAGTTCACCATGTTTATATTGGCATCATTATGTTTGCTTCTGTAGGAATTAAACTCAATCATCAATTTCTCTATTAACTATCAACTGTGGTCTTAGCCAGAAACTATCCCTTCAGGAATCTTCCTGGTTGCTGTGCCGATTTACGAGGCAGCTCTGGCAAGGGATGGGGCCTAGGATGATGCTACAGGAAGAGCCTGTAGTCTCGCCTTTCTTTCTGGTGCAAAGCCAGCTCACCCTACTGTGGTGCACGTTGGGAAGAATATGAGCATGGTAAATTGGCAGCCAAACTACTACTACGCTGCAATAGCAATTGTGGTCTCCTGGTTATGTAACAATGCACTAATAATAACTTCCAGAAACAGATGGGACTACTACATACATTTGCAAGTTATACATAGATGGAAATAAACAATTCAGCTTTCTTTATTAAAACTATACTGATTAACAATATAGAAATTTATTTTCTTATGTTCCTTGTTACAAATAATTATGGATAACAGACATATAATACAATAATGAAGATTAGGAAGACTTCTCTAGATAGTCCAACAATAACTTATCCAAAACACATCATCCCCAACCACACCTACCCATAGACCATCTACTAATCAAGGGCATTATGAGAGTTACAGACCCCCATACTTTTTATACACGATCATATTGCAACAATATGTGTGATCAAATCAGATTAATAATACATATAATTAACATGGTACAAACACAGGAAAAATCATTTTCTTTCAAGATGAGTACAGCACAAACCAAAGAAAGCATCAAGAACCTCCCACCAAGATTATAGCTAGAAAGAAGAAACACCAACACCCAGGTATCCTCTAAAGATTCAAGATTAGTATAAACTATTATCAGAAAGTAATATAAAATAAAATTAGAATTTTACTTTTTACTGGATAAATTATATGTGTATTATAATAAAATCTATATAAAATTAGAAAATTAATCTTTCTGTAATCCAGTAAAATATAAAAGGCAACTGATTCCACAGGACACTAGGATACCGTACGTTCAGAATATTTTACCACAAAAAAGGCATTAGACATTAATCACTGGGCCTGGTTGCCCTAACTATAACCCCAGGGTTACCTACCACAAAGGTAATTCAAAGCTTTTGCTGATTTTTAACCCCAAATCAAACGAGCCCAAAAAATCTTTCTCTGCTAAGATTCAAAGTACAAAAGATTATGATTTTGTAAAAGAACAGGAGGCAGAGAATAAGGAGCAAACTCCACTTAGTAAGAAAGGGTCCAAAGCACCCAGCTAAGATGGAGGGATTTAAGCTAGGATAATAACCAAAAATGAAACAAAGTCACAGAACTGTATCCAGCAACAAGGTCACCTGGATGCTGAAAATGTGTTGTCTCTTAAAGAAAGGACAAAGTTTAAGCAAGCAAACAAACACAGAAACTAGATTATGAGTTTTCTAAAGCCAGAAGGTTCCAACACTATTATGCAACGATTAAATACAGAGAAGGGCCTAATGCTGGGAAAGATTGAGGGCAATAGAAGAAGGGGACGACAGAGAATGAGATGGCTGGATGGAGTCACTGAAGCAGTAGGTGTGTACTTAAATGGACTCCAGAAGATGGTAGAGGACAGGAAGACCTGGAGGAACATTGTCCATGGGGTCGCGATGGGTCGGACACGACTTCGCAATTAACAACAACAAATACAGAATACAACTAATGCTGGATCTCCTGCTTCATTTTATAAGAACAAATGTATGAAGTCTTAAGAGAAGTAACTAAATTTCCCACTTTTGAAGGTGAGACAAAATGTGTATGTTCTGTTGTGAAAAACAACACAGCTTCTAGAGGAGGGTCAGGCAAATTTTGTGGGTGGATGTACATATTAGGAATGTTAAGACCGTGTTCTGCCCACTCTTATAAAACAAGAAAATTAAAAAGATACCAATGGAAAGATGTTCCCAGCCATTTCCTGTAACACTCCAGCATGCTTTTTAATCACCCCCAGATTTTCTTCGAATTTTTTTTCTGGGCAGCTCGGCATATATCCAAATAAAGCATTGGATTACAATTCCTCACCTTTTTTTAAAGAGTTATTGTAGTATATTTTAAGCCAGAAGTGTTTTTTAGAAGACTGGCATTTTCTTGTGTACCATGCCAGCTGTCCATTCATTTTTTAAAATAAAATAAATTAGGAAAAAAACAATATTAGGTGGTACAAACAATAAAAACCTGATGGACACTAAGAGTGACTCCATGTTGCCTGCCCCTAGCAGAATAATAAATAAATCAAGACAATCCACAGTGATATACATTTTAAAATTTCATTAAGTACAATGTAATTGGAACAGAGGAAAAAATAGTAATTTGGATAATTAATCATCCATCTTTAAAAAAAAAAACCTCCAGATTTACTGGGTTTCAAATGAAGTAACCATTATGAACGAAGCAAATATAAGTGTCCCGGGATAATGTTGAAGGATCCAATCTGGGTCGGTCCTTGGGACCAGAGGTTCAGTCTTCCGAGCTTTTGGACTCGTTCTGGTGCCCATCCTCAGGGAACTTCTCTCTACCAGAATGTGACACATTACTGTACTGTAACATATTCTGATAAGAGAGAAGTTCCCTGAAGACGGGCACCAGCATGAGTCATAAAGCTCGGAAGACTGAACTTCTGGTCCCAGTGACCAACTCAGATTGGAATTGACCATTATGCATACTGGATCAAGTACAATAGGATTTAAACACTTTTTAAAAGTTATTTATATAACTGAATCCTGTTGGCATATATAAATGCTGTATTATCAATCTGATATATTTTAAAGGTTTTGTGGTAGCTGAATGAACAAAATTACCATCAACATTTGTTTAAAGAAATGTTGAATAATGTTGAAATATTACATTCTCTAATATATATGCCTATTCATAAACAGTTACAAAGCTTCTTTACATAACTAAAAATATTATCCTATGACCAATCCTATGTTGACCTCAGATGAATATGTTTATGATCATACAGAGGGCTTCATAGAAGCAGGCTCTGTAAGAACAAAGTTATTTGTTGTAGATTATGAAATAATTGATGATATCACCTTTCTTAATTTGTTTTTACACCCTATGCTTTCTCTTTTAAAGTTAATTATGAAATTAAATCTAGAAATGCATGAGTTTTCTGTTATTTTGAATTTCAGAAATGGAATGCACAAGCAGGTGCTGTCAACGCTAACATCAGATGTTTGTGCATTGACAACAGATGGAAATGTAGCCATCTTTCACCTTTTGCTTTTAGAGTTAGATGATGCTGGGAGGGGGGATGTGAAGGAGAGTCCAGCTAGACATAACAATACTAAACCTAGTGTGAGAAACAAGGTTATTGTAACCAGAGCTGATAAGGAATTGGGCTAGAGAACTGGAGAGGAGGCCCACGCTTCAAGCTAATTGGGGAATGTGATTTATGACTGGAGGAGAGAATTGTGCTTTGATACTATGTGCTCAGGGGAGGGGAATTCAGTTTTTGGCTTCGATTATGCAGTGCTGATCTTATGCTACTCAAAATAAAGATTCTTTAAGGTAAACAATGCCTCGAAGTTCTTTTGAAGAGTTTCATCTGTCGGAACCATACAGCTGTAGGATTATATAATGCAGCTTTCTATAATATAGTGTGATGTCTTTCAAGGATTGAACTAATATCCCAGTATGATCAAAGGCCATGCTGGCAGAGTATTATGGAAGTTGAATCTAACCCCTCTGCAGGGCATCAGGATGGGGAAGGCCAATACAATGCACTGGAGAGCATAAACCCATTGTTTCATTTTTCCAATGTATAATTCACAGCTGATGATTTTTGAAATTTCTATTTTTAGCAGAACTTAGAGATTTGAGAATAGTGCTCTAAATATGACATCTAAAATCAGAAGGCACTAAATTATTATTTGCTGTGGGTGTTTTGCTAAAAACCAAATTTGCTTCACATTTTCAAGCTAAAGAGAGCCATGTTGATCTTTTTCTAGCCTAGTTCATGACAAAATTCCTGATTTTTTTTTAAAAAAAAAACACCCTATAGTGGCAGCACTTGTGAAATACTTGTCAGATTGCCATGATAAGACTTCATAAGATCTTAAACCTATAAGGTAATCCAGAACATTGTTTGGCAACACAGTATGAGAATCTTGGGATAGGCAACTTGTGGCACTTCATGTTCTTTTTGCATCTATTCCCTTTGGCCACATGGGGCTGCTGAAAACTATACTTCAGCACAAGCCAATAGGTTATCCAGATGTGAATAAAACTATATGGAATATGACAACTGTGGGAGGTTGGAAGCATGATATCCTCCCCCTTCATTTTCCTAACATGGGTGCTATTGTTTCAAATAATAGTTTACACATACATAGAATACCCTATTCGGAAGGTAAAGTCGGAGGACAGCCTTTTCCAACCTAGACAACTGCCAAATATGTTCAGTTCTCAGATTGTCTGTTCCACATCTCTGGAGAGGAGACAGTTTGTGATAGTTTGGCTGAGATGATCTGGAAAATAATGACTTAGTGACAGATTCACATGGGGTCAATGGAGGACAGTCAAGTCAAAGGATTCTGGACATCCCAATCCTCCATCACTGAAACTGCATGCAGCATACAGAATGACTGTATGCTGTTACGATTTTTTTTTTACTAAGAACCTTTTTAAATGAAAGATCGCAACTTTGAATCTTTTGCCACTCATTAGTAAACCACTGATTTCATCAGTAAAATTCAGAGAGTTTTCAACTTCCTATTCAATTAGTTTAAAACAAGCATGTCAAACTGCCGGCCCGCAGGCTGGATGCATCACGACGAAACCATGCCCACCCCATTGCTAACAATGGGGGAAAAGTCACGATATGTCGCAAGTTTGACATGCCTGGTTTAAAACATAAACAATATATTTCATTTTTTTTCCTATTATTTCTAAGTATGTTTTGATCAAGGGCAGATCATTCTATTTCTGAAACGAAATGCATTTCTTAATAAAGCACTTAATTAAAGAAAGCCAGGTAAGAACTACTACTACTACTACTACTACTACTAATAATAATAATAATAATAATAAAGTTGGAAGGGACCTTGGAGGCCATCTAGTCCAACCCCCTGCTCAGGCAGGAAACCCTATACCATTTCAGACAAATGGCTGATTTATAAATGCTGACAGAACTACAAATAATATCTGATTATGTGGAATACCTTGAAAATGTGTATTAGAGGGACAAAAATAAACCACATTACTAAAAGTATCATCTCATATCAATATGTTCTGCATACGCAGTGCAATGCACCCATTTAGTTAAGAGAATGTGAACTGCATTTCTGAATTTGTTTTTAAAGCCACTATATGAGCAACAAAAATAAAAAATCCTACGTGAATGTCAATATTCAATACAAGCCTATGACAATATATTTAAGAGCAGCTTTAGCAAAATCAATGCACCATATGTAGGGGAGTATAGGTTCTAGCAGAGTTGAAATTTAAGGTTTCTAGAACTAATATGCATTGCTCTCAACATTTTAAACCAATATATTGAGAATTCTGAGCGCCCTAACACCTGGAAGATGCTCAATTACAGAAGTTGATTTCCTATACTTTTTCTATTTGTCATCTAACACAATGGAGGTGACAACTCTCCTGTTGATGGAAAAGTCATCTAACTGGCCATCTGAAACTTGATGCTTATGTGCATTATCTTGATGGTAGGTACTATTTTATAATCTATTGATTATTAATTGGTCTTCAGCATTAAAATATTTTTTTCTGGATAGAATGTTGTTAAGAGAAATATACCCCTCTCCAGGAAAAATTAAAAACACAAAGAAAATACAGAAGGGGAACTGCGTAATGAGGGAATTGTGTGGATGGCCAGTAAAAAGATAAGTGAACAAAGTATAGGAATGCCACAATGTAATTAGGGAAGAAGTCTAGTGATTAAATTCACACTATGGAGTATGGTTGACAAGATTTGCTGAGGTAAGAAAAACATCAATTTGCAAACCACAACATCCTTATTCATACATTGTCTTACTTCATATCTTGATAGCAGTTCTCCAGAATGCATTGTATTTCTAAGTGCTTCATTTAAAAAGAGTGAGAGAGAGAAGAAATACCATCCTTATACAGCATTACAGACAACATTCAAACCTGAGCATTCATGTATTAAACACGCAATTTTCAGATGCATTTTCTGCCTGAAGTCCCTGGACAGCATTATCCAGCAAATCCATGCTATCTCGAAGTGTGACACTGAGTGTAAATGGCTTTGGTTTAACAGTCAGGCCATAGGTGGAATCCATCTTAGAATCTTCCTTTGGATTAGCACTGAAATTGCACTGGTGGACCAAGACAGCAGTGAAGAGAAAGAGCTGCACTTTGGATAACTCCTCCCCAATGCACCTTCTTTTGCCCACTGAAAAAATCAGCACGCTGCTAGCAAGGTCCTTGTTCAGGAATCCATTCTCATCCAGGAACCTTGCTGGATTGAAAACTTCTGGAGCAGGCCATTTGCCTGGGTCATGGTTCACGGACCACTGATTGATGAAGACCACTGTGTCTTTGGGTATGTGGTAGCCCATCAAGATGGTATCGGCTGTGGTGGAATGAGGGATAGTAACTGGCACAAAGCTGCTGAAACGCATAGATTCATATAGGAAAGCCATGACAGAAGGCAAACGGGGCTGATCCTCAGCACAGGGCAGGCGGTTTCGGCCAACAACTTTGTCTATTTCTTCTTGCAGCTTAGTTTGCACCTCTGGATACCTGGTTAAAAACAACAGCAGCAGCTGTTTTTAAAACACTTTCCTCAATTCTCTGAAAGGAAATATTATCTAGGCAAACCTATGCTACCAGGAACACAGGAAGACAATGTCAGGTGAGGGGGCACAAGTGGCAGGAAAAGAGAATATATATACATATTTCCCAAATGAGTAGAAAATTTGTATCATTCTCCAATAGTTTTACAGATGGACAAATATATTATGTTGAAAATCATGGCATACAAGGAATTGCCCAACTACTCATTCCCAACAATTTTAGTACAATTCTAACAGATAATATATGACAATAGGCAAGTTAAAGAAAAGATAGCCGAATATCTATTCTTTAAATCAATGTCTGCTGTAATATTTTGATTGAATTTGACTGAAACAGGATTCATAACTCATAAACTCTTGCTTTGCCTACTGAAAGTTTATTCTTTAGGTTTTTATCCTGTCTTTATTACTTTATAACAAGTAAGGTGGCAAACACACCTAGCACTCCTTCCTTCTATTATTTTACCCACAACAACCTTGTGAGGTGAATTGGACTAAAAGTAAGACTGGCCCAAAGTACCCAGCCAGCTTTCATCTTCACATTGATAAAATTTCTTCTGTCGACTGCAAAAGATCACAACACTTGGATCCACAAATATACTATGCTGATACATTATGAAATCCTAGGTTCTTGGGAAGAACTCAATGCATATGAAGGCCAACACTAAGTAAAAAACTGGCAGCTATGACTCCACATTGTTGTGAACATATATTAATAATGCCCACTAGAAATCCAGACTCTTAAACAAAACTGAAAAAAATGAAAAAGTACTTAATTAAGATCTGTCATCATTACGCCTATTTTTTAATACTAACTCTGGTTATAATCAGTTGTGAAGATTTTGACAGTTTTGAGGATTATTATTTCTAAGTGTTCTGATTTTATGATCTTCTTGATTATTTTATACTGCCATGTATCCATCTGGAGGGGCAGTATTTAAATTAAATATATACATTAAAAGATGCAAGAGATTTATTTGTCATCTACTCAGAGCATTACTATCGTCAGTTGGTTTTTCTTAACCAAACCGAAGATCCAAGGAAGAGCTATTATTTGTTTCAAAAAATGATCTCTAGAGAATACAAGTTTCATTGGAGATTCATATTAATGAAGAGCAAACCATGGAAAATCCATTCTTTTTCCTGACTTGATAACTGCAAGGGTCCACGTTTCAAACAGAAATTATCAGTATCTCATAACCTTTTCTTTCTACAATCTGGCGAGGGAGAGAGAGAGAGAGATGCAAACAAACAACATTCATTAAAAATAATTGCCGTGTGAGCAACTGAAATATTTATCATCCAAGATTATATCAGCCTGCAACAGTATTGACTAATATTAAATTGCTTAATTTACTTACAATACTGAAATATTCTCTGGTACATGTGAAGATATAAAAAGCTTGTTTAAATTATGAATCCTTGGCCACTTTGATCTAGTGCAGGGGTAGGCAACCTTGGCTCTTTTATGATTCATGGACTTCAACTCCCAGAATTCCTGAGCCAACCAAGCTGGCTCAGGAATTCTGGGAATTGAAGTCCACGAGTCATAAAAGAGCCACGGTTAAGACACCAGACTAGAAAGGGGGAGACTGAGAGTTTTAGTCGTGCCTTGGGCATGAAAGTCAGTTGGGTAACTTTGGGCCAATCTCTCTGTCTCAGCCCAATCCACCTCACAGGGTTGTTGTTGTGGAGAAAATAGAATATGTGTTGGATATGTTTGCCACCTTGAGTTATTTGTAAAAATAATAAAGACAGGATACAGATAAATAAATAAGCCTAGTCTTTTGCTTTCACAAATGGAGCTCTGATCCTCCATGAGATAAAATTCTACTAGGAGAGGGGATAGGAAGGAGGCAGTATTTGCTCATGTTTCCTTTGTCCCCATTTCCCCCCTCCCCACATTTGCTCCAAATAATTCAGAAATCCTATCTGAGCAGGTGGTGTGGGAATAAATGGGAAACTTAGTTTTTGCTTAGCACCAGTGCAAGTTAGATGTCAGATTTGTGTGGTATCACTCCCCTTTTTTTAAAAAAAAAAATTGCATAACCTTGCAAGGCTGAAAAATCTCTCAAAATGTCAATCTTCTTACTAAATTTTCAGCCACTTTCTGGGCTGTTTAGAATTCACAGCTCAGCTCAAATGTAGACCCCACAGGGGAGATATACTTAATGCATGTTTAAAAGACACAGCGGTGTCCAAATCGGGATCATAGTTGGGATTGTGGGCATGAATCGTGGCCCTAACGCATTCAAAGAAGATAAAATTCCTCCCTCGATTTTTAATTTTTATTTTTGACTGCTTTCATAGATGTTAGACTTTAGACCAGCTCAGTTATGTCCCCTGGAGCGTTTTTTATTGATCTTTTTTATATTGGTACCTAACATTTCCAACCGCGCGGGTGCCGCGCACAATAGCTCCTCCAGTCATCCTCTCTCGCCAATCAGCTCACCTGATGAGGAAGATCAAGAGCCACTGCAGGGCGGTAGAGAGAGTATCCTGGCTGGCGCCGAAGATGTCCGTGACGGTGGCCGGCACGTGCTCCACAGGCAAGCCAGGCTGCGTTTGCTGGAGGCGGATGAAGGCGTCCATCAGGTCGCGTAAGGGATCTCCCGGGCGGAGACTGTTCCGATGCCACAGAAACTTCTGGCGGACGAAGCTGTAGAACTCATGATTGAGGGCGCGGAAAGCGCGGAAGGCCGAGCGCACCGGGTTGGGAAAGCGCTGCAGCCAGGGTAGCACGTCGACCACGCTCCCGGCGCCCACCGTGCGCCCGAACTGCTCGTTCCGACCCACCAGCCGCCGGAACTCGACGTCAGCGTGGCTGTAGCGGCTGCCGAAACAAAGCGCGCTCATGACGTTAGCCACGGCCACCCCCAGGCTCCGGGACGGATCTACGAAGGCGCCGCCGGCGCAAGCGCTCACTAGGAGCCGCACCACAGTGCGCGCCTCAGCCAGCAAGGGCTGCTCCAGGAGGCGGCGCGCCGAGAAAGCGCGCAAGGTCGAGTGCGCCAAGCGCCTCTGCAGTTTCCACAGCTCAGAGTAGCCGCCGAAGGCCAAGCTGCGTCCTCCGGATACCAGCTGAAAGGAAGGGAAAGGAGGCCTGCCCGCGAAGGCGGCCCCTTGGCGGATGAGGGCCTCGCGGATGGCGCGCTCGCCGTTCAACACGACCACCGGCCATCTGCCCAGGCGCAGCTGGAAAACGCTGCCGTAGATGGCCGCGAGGCGTCCGAAAGCTAGGTGAGGGGCGCGGCCCAGTTGAGCTGCGTTGCCCAGAAGGGGCCACGGGAAAGGGCCCGGCGGTCCCAGCCTCCTCCGTCGCGACCACTCGAAGGCCAGAAATTTCACCGCTTGGAAGGCGAGCAGCAGCGAGAGGAGCAGGAGCAGCAAGCCTTGCATTGGGGGCACGCCGGCCCGGAGCGCTTCTGCTAGCCCGCGAGGGCGCGCGCTGCGGAGAAAAGAGGCTGCCTTAGGAGCGCTTCTGGGGGGTCAAAACGTAGATGTATTGCACCAGTGATTTTCAGTGCCCGCTTGCAAATGCATAACATTTAGTGGTACCAGATATGGGTTGCGACATTATTGCATCGCATTAAAAATAATTGACTCCACTTTGTGCACTTGACCTATCTGTATCCCAAAGAATTCCCCTCCCCGTGGGAAGATTCTCAGACTCTGAAGTTTAGAGTAAGAAGTCCACAGACAGAATATAATTAGAGACTGTTAATAAACTGAAACATGTTGGTTTTCAATTATGTATTGTATGTTTCCAAAATCTATAATCTCACTCTTGCATTTTTCTGGTCGGTTGCATGAGTAGTTATGGATACTTAATAATAAATAAAGACAGCTGGGGCCTCCGTGGGTGGAGGGGAATGGCGCCCAAAAGGTCAAGGTGGGTGCAACATTTATCAAAAGGGGTGAGGCTTCAATTACACAGTAATAGCTGCCACCCTGACTTTGTGGATCATCACCGCTACCCATGCCACAGAAAGAGGCTGGCTTATCTGTGGAATTTGTGAATTTCTGTTTGGCTGTAGGAAGTGACTTTTCTTTCAGGTGCACAGGGCAAAATGCACTGGGTATCTAACTAAAAAGCTTTAGTTCTTACTACAGCTTCATAAGAGCAACTCACTTGCATGCTGAAGAATTTGTGCTCTATTAAATCTAAAACTTTCCAGAAGGACAAGTGATACTTAAGGGGAGACAGGATTTAACAGAAATACATACTATCTATATGCAGTAACATTCAGCCATAGTGGAGGAGAACCATTGACTTTTAGAGCAGAGATTTCCAGGCAATGTTTCCAGTTTAGATTTCCAGTTCCATAGAGTTCTACCAGAAAGTTAAAAGTTCAAGAACACTCTATAGGAGCTTATATAGTGTTGAAGTGAGAATTTTCATATTTGTGCTACTCGATAAGCCACATCAGATAGAAAACAACAATAAAAAATACATAGCAGGAACAGGAAGATCTGAAGTTTACTAGAGACAGTATCTTCATGTATAACAGTGAATTGCTTCATCAACCAAAGGAAATCCTTCAGTGAAAAAGAAGCATCTGGATAGGATTTGATGTATATTTATATTAAAAGGTTCTCTTCTCCTCTGGGATCACATCACAAAATGAGAGCATCTCCTAAAGGGCTGAGTTCTCACAACATGCTAAGGTTCATTTGATGTATTCCTTGAGTTTGCTGAAACAAATGAACTATGCTACATGAATTGCATAGTAAGCTACAAACTAGTCAATAACTTTTTAGTCTAATTAAGGTATATGACTTCAACTACAAAAGTAGTTTCATTGAACTTGTGGGGGATTCTGCTAAGCTTGAATCTCATTATTAAATCTCTGTTCTAACTTGCTAATTTCAAAATAAATCAATCTCATTAAACAATAGATGATAGCAAACTACTTCCCTTCTCCCCCCAAATTAATGCCACTGGATTGAGCTAATCCGAGCTGCTGTGTATGCAAAGTGTCTTGCAGGTTTTGTTTATGGTCATGACTTAGTGTCTTAGGATAAAGTGTAATGTTTCCAAGACCACCCACAAATGGGGATTTGGCTGGGAATCCAAACAGCATTGTATCCATATTGCTTGTTGGCTCTTCATTTTCTTAACAGAAAGATTGGGATGGATAAAAAAAATCAAGATAATCCTTAGGAAAGCCTGGGGCTACATGTCTGAACTGCAAAAATACCACAAGACTATTAGAGCAGAGAGATACAGAAAATGCTGAGCATTGCAATCTAGTGGTTTTCCAGATTTTTGCAGGCCAAACCACTTTTTTTTTCTAGCTATATGAGATGTAGGTGAAGAACAGGATAACCTACATATTGCCACACATTTCTGAATTATTGAGTGTAATAAAATTTTTATGTTTTACCTGCCTTCTTAATTAGCTCAACTTGAGTAAAAATATCCTGATATGCAATCCAATTTAACCCATAGCTGAAGACAAAACCCACTGTTTCAATAGGATTTGGTCCTAAGTGAATCTACAAATATTTGAAAAAAGCACCCATTAACTTCAATAGAACTTTGAAAAAAGCACCCATTGACTTCAATAGAACTTTTTTCCCCCCATGTAACTGGCGAAGGATGCATCCTTTTATCTTGAGACTAACCACTGGAGTTAATTGTTACATTCAAACTGATGTGAATAATTGTAACTTGGCAGTAACTGTTCAGCTGGATTTCCTCTCATCAGATAAAATGAGCAAGGAATCCAGCAATCCAGTCACTGAAAATAGAGGATGTAAAAAGATTGCTACAATTTATTCAGAAATCTAATCAATAGTCAATGAAGCATACTTGTACATAAAAATGGGGAATTCAGCAACTTGGAAATATTTGGTGATGCACTGATCCACACTAATCAACCATGTTTTGGGTCAGTGTAGTTGTATAGTTACAGAAAATGGGTTAACCCTGACGGTACAGACAATGGCAAACCACTGTGAGAACAGAGTTACAGTAAGAATCAGGTATTAGTTTCCTAGTTAAAGATGTGGAATATCTCAAGGTTTTGATGGTCATCCTAAAGTCAACTTTTTTAGAAACTGCTGACCGTAAATCACATGGAATTCATCTAAATTCCAATTTTTATTTTATTTTATTTTTTAAAAAAGGTTTTTAAATTGCCATTGTAAACGCAAAATCTAATTCAAAGAGACACTGGGAGACAACAGGCAATTTAAGATTTTTAAGGAATACACGTTAACTGCTTGAGTTGCTATGGAAAAAAGGATTTGAAAGTTCCCTCGACATATTGGGAAAGGGACCTCTTTGCCTGGTTAAAAAAAAAAAGATAAAAGACTTTTCCTCCAATGGTATTATACCATAATGAAAGAAGACACCTGTATTTTGGAAAACTCTGCCAAGCTTGTACTTGATACTTTAATGACTGGTTCTAATTTCTATTTGAACAAATTAATTTTGCTTTATTGTATACTTCTGGTTTTTATTCCACTTTGTAAGCCTCCTGGAATATTGGAATAATCAGAAAGTAAACAAACAAACAGCCTAGCTCATTTGATCTGCGTGGGTGGATAATCTCATCATCACCACGACTTTATTACAGGCTGACGTTAACCACAAAAGAACCTTAACCATCCCGTCCTAAAACTGAAGGGGATGGAGCTCTTTTCCGTCTCAGGACTAACCTGTTAATTAACGCTTCTCCCAGATCTCTCTGGGTCATAATGCCTCCCGTCCCACGATTGAGCTGTGCGCACAAGTGGTTGCGGTTCACGCGCTTGAGAAGGAGAGCAGCTTAAGACCGTCGTGCGGGGCGGGGGCTGCCGGCGATCTACGCTGCTGCTGTTGCTGCCGTCGCTGCCGCCTGTGAGAGACCCTGATCGGGCAAGGAGCCGGCTGATGTGCTTTGAGTTGCACCGGCCGCTCAGCTTAGCTCGGCGCCTGGCAAAACCTCTTGCGCTGCCGCTGCAGAGAAAGGTGGGGCGGGGAGAGAGAGAGAGAGAGAGAGAGAGAGAGAGAGAGAGAGAGAGAGAGAGAGAGAGAGAGAGAAAGAGAAAGAGAATAAGAGAGAGAGAATAAGAGAGAGAGAGAGAGAGAGAAAGAGAAAGAGAATAAGAGAGAGAGAATAAGAGAGAGAGAGAGAGAGAGAGAGAGAGAGAGAGAGAGAGAGAGAGAGAGAGAGAGAGATGTTTTTGGCGCGCTTAAAGTGGCCACGCTCCCTCTCGCATCGCGTCCCGAGTGACCAAGGCAAGCGATCCCAACATCGTCCAGCCAGCAAACGCTTGAGATGGCGGCAGGGAAAAGCCCTCCTCTTCTTATTATCCCTGGGGGCTGAAAAAAGTTTCTATCCTTCGAGTGTCACCTCCCCGTTGCGTGCAGAGTTGCATTGCGTGATCTGTTGATGGAAAGCCTCTGGCCATTCCCTCCCCTCCCCTTCCCTTCCCCGCATTAGATGCTCGCACACGCGAGATCCGAAGGGGGAAAAGGAGTCCAAGGAATTGCAGAGAGGGATGGGCGGGAGGCAAGCGAGTTTCGACCCTTCCCAGAACTGTTTTCAAATGCCGCCATTCTTTCCCCAGGTCTGGCTAGAAAAGGGTGGTTGGCTTCCATTATCCAGCTTCATTTGGCCAGGTGAGGTAGGAGTTTGGGGTAGATCTTGGGGGCATGGAAGCTAAGCAGCTTTGATCGAACCTCCATAAAACTTTAGAGCTACAGGCAACTTAGAAAACTGGGAAATGTCCCAGAAGAATTTAGTGGCAGACCATTTTTCTCTGTTAGAGTCCCCGCCATACAAATTGCCTGGATGTGTCCTTGAAAGCAACAGGAACACCATGCACCCAAACAAAATCTTGAAAGAATATTGGCTTGGGGGGTCTGGATTCCCCATGAAGCTGTATTTTGAGTGGATTGTGCCCAGCCAAATTTACTCAATGGTGGGTTCCCTTAGAAAAAAAACATGATTTCTGGGTTCATTGACAGGCAAAGCTGATACCATAGAAATCACATACAGCTAGCTTAACATTGTGGCATCATGCAACGTGTGACTTTCTAGCTGAAGGATATGAGGCCGAGTCAGACCTTCTATCCTTTGTGAATGTTCTTATAGAAAAATATCACCTAAGAAATCAGAAGCTCTCAGAAAACATACTCCGTTTGTATACAGTTTGATTTCTCCGTTTAGCCTACCATTGTCTAGATTGCAGCTCTTCCTCCTACCTCCCAAGGTCATTCTCAGATAGCAATAGCACTTAGACTTATATACAGCTTCATAATGCTTTACAGCCCTCCCTAAGTGGTTTACAGAGCATATGGCCCCCAGCAATATGGGTCCTCATTTACCGACCTCATAAGGATGGAAGGCTGAGTCAACCTTGAGCGGGTCAGGATCAAACTGCTGGCAGTCGGCAGAGTTAGCCTGTAATACTGAATTTTAATCTCCACTACAGTGCCATCATTACATCAAAGCTATAGCCAGCTTAAAAAGAGGGGAAAGCTTATAATTTATGACCATTTGATTAGCAACTGTTTGAAGTTACAGTGGTGCTGAAAAAAGTGACATATGAGCAGTCCTCACACTTATAACCATCACAGTGCTCCCCCCAGTCATGTGATCAAAATTTGGACACTTGACAACTGGCATGTATTTATGACAATTGCAGCATCCTATGGATATGTGATTACAATTTACAAACTTCCTCACCAGCTTCCAACAAGCAAAGTTAATGAGACAATTCAGATTCACTTAATGACAAGAACAGGTTAAAGATAGATTGTCACGGAGAAAGTCTTTCAATTATTGGTAGACTACATCATTAAGACTAAAAAGAACTTGCTGGCACATAGTCAGTCAATCAAGATGGGTACAGCCATGAAGTTTTCTTGTTAAGTCTATAAAAGGGATTTATTATTGCTGATAATTAAGATGATTATGGGGCTGGAGGCTAAATAGCAATAGCACTTAGACCAGTGGTTCTCAACCTGTAGGCCGGGACCCCATTTGGGGTCGAACGACCATTTCACGGGGGTCGCCAAACAACGCAGTCCGCCATTTTTTCCCCCTTTTCCTTAGCTGTGCTACTCCCTTTTATTCTATTGGCTTTTGAAAGCCAATAGAATAGACCCCCTTGAACAGAGTCTAATTCTATTGGCTTTCAAAAGCCAATAGGAATTGTCCAGGCTGTCTCTGCCCTGCTGAGCCCGCCAAAAGTCCCATTCTGCAAACAGTGCTGCACCAGTTGAGTAGTCCTCGACTTACGACCGGTTGAGTAGTCCTCGACTTACGATCGGTTGGGGGTCGCGGCATTAAAAAGGTTGAGAACCACTGACTTAGACTTATATAACTTCATGAAACATATGATAGCAGTGTTCCAATATCTAAGGGGCTGCCATAAAGAAGAGGGGGGTCAATCTGTTCTCCAAACAGATTGAAGGCAGAACAAGAAGCAATGGATGGAAACTAATCAAGGAGAGAACCAACCTAGAATTAAAGAGAAATTTCCTGACAATTAGAACAATTAATCAGTGGAATGACTTGCCTCCAGAAGTTGTGGGTGCTCTATCACTGAAGGTTTTCAAGAAGAAACTGGGCGGGCATTTGTCTGAAATGGTGTAGGGTTTTTTGTTTGAGCAAGGGTTTGGACTAGAAGACCTTCAAGGTCCCTTCCAACTCTGTTATTCTGTTATTGCTTTCTAGATTACACCTCTGGTATTCCCTAGTAATCTTCATCTAAGTAACAATCCTATCTGATCCTGTTTATCTTCTAACTCCAGACAAAATACAAATATGATGGGACCAGAATTCCCAGGATTCCCAGTCAACAATCCAATGTTTGCAAATTCTGGATACTGAAGTCCCAAGACTGAAGAATGGGGAAGACAGCTGTACAGTCTAATCTAATTGGAATCGGGAACATATCTAAAGGAGAAGATGCTTGAAATTTCCTATATAATAAACACTTCCTGTTTGATGGTCAATTCTGCAATGTGAACTTTGGTCAACATCTTGGGGATATATTCTACTAAGTAGCATGCTTGACTTTTTAGAAGTGAAGAACTGCTGTACCTAGTAGGGAAAAGATAAGTTTACTTGGGTGGAAATTTTAGTTTTTAAGCTGTTGATTTCCCTTAAGAAAGCTGTTTATAATATTGATCAGTTGTTTGTTATGTGGGTTAATGCAACTAGTCGCAATCTAACATGCTGTGAAGCTATTAGACTTCAACTGCCATAATTCCCAGCCCAAAGTTACAACAGTATCTGAAACGGATGAAAATTTCAGATATTGAGAATACCATTTTTGGAAAGGCTGAATTTATACCACTACAAATAAAGTACTACAGAGAAAATAGTTATGTGCATGTGTTATAGTGATTGTACAGAAGTGTTTAAAAATGTGAGGGGAAGCATTTGACTTGGATAGTCCATTTCCACTTGCCTGCCTATGAAAGAAACTTATGTTCACAAATATAGTTGTTAGTCTTTCCTTTTAAAACTCTTAATTGAGATATTTATATACTCTATCATAAAAATGTACCTCAGGCAACATTTCATTTGGTTTACAAAATCAGAGCGAGACCAGAGATTTATGGGATTAGAAAGAGGAAGTTTATCCAGTACATAAAGCTCTTTTCATCTGCTTTGTATTCTCTGTTTGATTCCTATTTGGCTGTAAAATATATTTTCTGCACATCATTATTATAGTTGGCTTTTGTCACAGCTATTGGAAGATATTGAGATCATAACCAATCCACCCTCAGTCTTCTTCTATGTGTATGTTGACAGTTTCCAGCTATTCTCAATGTTGAAATTAATATACATGAGTGCACAAGAAGGTAACGTGTTTGAATTGCAGGCCCATTTGAAATTTTGTGAGCATATCACAAAATGGCTGTTAGTGGAAGCGTCCATGGCAAGGGAACACAAGGGAGCAAATGATAAAACAGTTGTTGCAAACTCTGCCTTTTATGAACATGCGTGTGATGCCATGCAAGCACAGAAAGATGGAACTTGTGTTAAGATATGATGGACATCTTTTTAATTTTGGCATAGCTGTGGTTAAGTCATATCTATGGCTACCAAGATTATGCAGCCAATTACAAAGGATTGTGGAAGGGGGAAGACAAACTGGCAAGCTTGCCTCCCAAGATACTCCCTCACTCACTCATTCACTCACTTACTCACTCACTCACTCTGGTGGAAACATTTCTAAACCTCTCACCATTATCCCAAAATGCTCACTCATTCATTCATTGCTCTTTCACTCTGGTCGAACTATTTCTAAGCAAAACATTGAATTGCTATTTTTACTTTCTAAGAAAGCCTGATTTGGGATCAAGAGACATACTTTGAAATAAAGGGGATGCTGGAAATTATTGCTTTGGTTTGCAGCAGGCCAATTTCCCATTAATAATAATAGTAATAATAATAATAATCCCCCAGTGAGGAACTACTTTGACATGGTTGTAGAACTTGCCCTCTCCAAGGATAATGAGAGCTAACCAAAAGTTCAACCACACTGGACAGGTTTCATCAGAAGACCCAGATGAAGAGTGCCTCTCCCGTAAATCATATGATGAGATATAATTTATAGAAACTCATACTGGATCGTTTTCCAGGTCAATAAGGATTGCACTAGATGTTGGAGTTCCTGGACATTTGGTGACAAATGGGCTACAGGAATTACCATGTTTCCCCAAAAGTAAGACCTAACTCAAAATTAAGGTTCTAGCTTGATTTTTGGCAGTGGGCCTAATATAAGCCCAACCCCCAAAATAAACCCTAGTTTTGGGGTGAGGCACATGCCAAAAAAATCGAGCTAGGGT